TATATTGAACACTACATTATTTGCATGTTAAAAATATTTACAGCTAATGTTATTTAGCTTTATTTTTTATTCATTTCATAGTTTTGTGTTGCAACATAGCTAGCTATCTCACTATCTTGGTAGCTAGCTAGCAAGATATATAGCTAAATAGAAAGATGGCCTTAGCTAGCTAGCTAAATAGATAGAGATAGATAGACTGATTGCTAGTTAGCTAGATAGTTAAGTAGTAGACAGACCTCCTTGTTTATATAAAAAAAACCTGACTTCAGCTGACGTGCACTCTTTTTATATCAAATGTGTATCTCAGACACAGTTTAAAAGCACCTCTTTATCCCACATCTGGAAGACAAACCCCAGTGTGTTCTTGCTGAAATGTTTTGCAAAGAGCAGATGTTGGGTCTGTGCAGTGAAACTTTCCATCGAACTCCACCACAACTGGATGGAAACTCAGTTGATGTGTGACGGCGCTCGCTTTGTGGTCGACATTGGTTCTTTTATACATGGGGCTGTTAATAAAGTCCCACATTCTGCATGGAAAGCTGTTTCCTGAGTGAGCGTCTGGCTTTGATTTGCTCTTTGACTCTGGGTTGTTTGTTCTTCTCATTCTAATTAGCTTCAAGAGTAATTTGTTGATTAACCAGCCTGCGCTTTCAAGAGACAGGCAAGAATTAAACTATCATTTTCCCACTAGAAAAGACTAACAATGTGGAAACTGCATCTGTCGCTGTTGTAAATCCAAACATCAAGCATTTAGTTGTAATTGTCAATATATCCTTTCATCTCTGTAATAGAGCTCAGGAAATAGACCAGTAAAGCAGACTTAATGATAAAAAACGTTATTTCCCTTTTTCCTCTTTAAACCTTCTGTTCAAACAGAGATAATAGGCTTAGATCCAGCCTCTTTTGGATCATTTTTCAAAATCTCTACTTATTCACTTTTTAAATTATGACAAAAACAAGGTATAAGCAAACATTTTTTTTCATTTTTGGAAATGTTTTCAAAACTATCCTATTGGCTTTTTAAGATTCTAGTTATGGGAACCATTGGCTCACTATTGGTTAAACCAATAACAAAATAGGGATTTTGTCATTTGATTCTTGTTACTGACTAGTTATATATTGACCAGTGACAGTAAAGTGTTAAATCTTAACCTGAAATGAGTTGGAAACTAGAGAAGAGGATGAAAAGTGTCTATTTTCCATCAAAAAATTTAAATTTTAATTTGAATGCATATATGAACGCTAATCCACTTCCGCTCCAAAGGCAGGAAGTCGATTACAGCGCACGGCATTCTGGGTAAATACAACCATCACAAACATGTAACTTTAGCACTAGCAGGAGAAATGACTCTTGGTCTTTTATAAAAGAGAAATCCTACAACCGCTAAAATCTGATGCTGCTCCATTTTTGTTTACATTACTTGAACAAGGAAGTTGTGCTGGTATGTTTCTGTGTTGTTTCCTTCAGTGGTTCTTGTTGCAGCGCCACTACAGGAGAGGAGGGGAACTGTTTTTTTTTTTAAAGGTTTGGTTTCATTCAGTGCAGTGAGAAATAAAACCACACCAGCTGAAAATTTAACAAATTTTGCAATTTTTGGTCCAAATGAACTGAGTCTACTGGACTATCAGGTGTGAAAACATCCTTAAAAATCTTTTTCATGATCCCTGATAAAGGGTTTGAAAAAGAAGCAGGGCCAAGTAACTCAATAACAAACCAGATTAAAAGTATGTAAAATGCACAGAATAAGGAAAAATAAATTATTTCAAAGAAAATGTCTTATCTTTGGAGTCAAACAATTATCTTTCTGCATGATTAAAGTCACACACCGTCTGCTTATCTCTCTATTTATAGTAGTAAATAAACAGACTCACACACTGACGCACCACATTTGTCCACTGACACTCAATGACGAAGATAACACAAAATACTTTAAGCAAATTTAGACCATCAGCTCTACAGGGTCAGAGGTCAGACAGGCGTGAGCTCAGACACATTAAAGGTGAATGATGTGTGCACACGTGTTGCAGACGTGTAAACACAGCATGCGCGGCACGTGTTGCGACCACAAACATGTTCCAGTCAGAAACCAACAAAACGACAGACTCACACTGTCAACAGTGAGTCAACAGGTTAGAGTGAAAACTGTGGGGAAAATCTCTTATTTGAGTTCCCTTCAGTGACTTATTAAATAAAAAAAAGATGTGCAAAGCTAAGAAAGGTTTTCAATCAATGCTTTCAATTCCAACTATTCTCTCGTTTTTGGACAAATATTGCAGAATTAACCAAATTTACACTGAAATTTTTTATAAATGTGTAAAAACATAAAGACACTACCCTTGAGAACGCATTGAAAGAGTTTACCAGAAAAAAGTTGATTTGGGGGTTAATTACTCTTTTATTGGTTACTTTCGAAACTTCCTGTTGCAGATAGTGAACCATAAAGTGGATATTTACAAGTGAAAGTGGACAATTCTTTTCACTTGTCCTACAGTATGGAGGACCAAAGCTGTCATAAATAAGAATATAGAAATATTGATTTTTTGTTAGTTACTCTTTAAAACAGTACTTTTGTAACTTCCTGTAGCAAATAGCGCTACTGTGCCGCAATGCTAATGCTAGCTTGTAAGCGAGAACCGTAAGTGGACATTTACTACTTGCTCTACAGTAACAGTATGGAGGACAAAGAATAAGAATAAATACATAAATAATTAAATTGCTCATTAGATCAACATAGACTCAAAAAGCAGCTTGAATAAATTAAATAAATGAGTGCCATTAAATGCAACAAAATAATAAATGCACATGAAAATATATAAATGGGGGCAGTGGGTTAGGATAAAATAGGAACATATATTAATACTACATTAACTGAACAATTATTAAATAAATCTCGTCTTTTTATTTTGTTGCATGTAATGGGCAACTAATTTATTTGTAAAGCTCCTTTTGGCTGTAATTACAACAAGACATTTATTTATGTATTCATAATTATGGCAGGATTGGTCCTACATATAACCATAGCTGAAAATAAATTAAACACATTTAACCAGTGTTATAAAGTCTGAGGTAATGACTTTATTACTCCTTATTTACGTTTATATCACCAGTTCATTGGTAATTTAAACTGTGTTCATTTTATTTCTGTCCTCTTCAGTTACATTGTTAATACCAAACAGTTATGTTAGCATCACAGCTTATTTAAAAGTGAGGCAATCTTAATATTTAGACTTTAATTTGCTTTCACGTTAAGTAAATTAAATACTTGAAACGCCCTCCACTTCCTCCAGCCATTTTTTTACTTTTGACACAATCAGGTTGCTTTAAATTTGTTTACCATCCTTTGTTTTTTGCAAAGAATATGTTCTACTTACTTAAAACGTTGCCTTTGTCTAACAAAAACGTTTCTTGATAATACTTGTTTTATATTGCAATCTTGCCAACATTTGTTGAGCTGCCTTTAAAGCAACCAAAGGCTAAATGTTAGCCTGAGTGTATCTCAAATTTATTTGAACACTATAAAGAAGATGAAAAGAAAAAGCTTGAAGAAAATGACTTTGTGTGGCATCAATTCTGTTCAAACAGCAACCCAATATTAAAATTTACAACCTTCCACCAAACTACCAACCAAGGCTTGGGTGGTAAAGCAGAAAGACTGTCGTCTGTTTGTGTCAGACAGTAAAAGTTCAGAGTCGTCAGAGTGTTTACGAGATGTTCCGTCGTAACCGAGAAAAATGGAGAAGAAAAACCAGAAGGAAACAGAAAGGAGGTGAAGGGGGGACAGCAGAGCTAAAAATCCAGCCGATGAGCAACGACAGCAGGTGGGAACAAAGAAAGTAACAAAAATCAAAAAATGATGTCAAAAATATATGCTTCACACTGATGTCGGCTACTTTATTTCACTCAAAAACAATGTGAAAACTACAAAAAAATACAACAATAAGCATGAGATTCACCAAACAACATACAATGATTACTTATTTTTTATCTTTCTGGGTATTACAGTGATACATTAGGACCATTGTTGGAAGAAAAAGAAATGAGTAAGCTTCTTTTAAAAAACTCAGAAAACCTGATTTTTCTCAGAAATGTTCTTGGATAAATAGAGTTAATTCTGAGCTGAAATATTTAGTTTCAAAAGTAGAATTTTTTTTTTTACTTTTGAAACTCAGATTTGTGAGATTAATCTGAACATTTCTGAGTTTTTTGGTTGAAATGTATTCCTTTCTTTCTACAATGGTCCCAACCTTGTTGTGTTTTGATGATATTCTTTATTGAGTTGTATTTTAGAAAAGGAAACCAGTCAAATGTTAAAAAAACTAAAACAAAACAAAACGTACATTCGTGGTCATACTATGGGTAACGAACCCTATGTTGAAAACCTTTTCAATGAAGTCATTTATTCTAAAAATTTCTGAAGTATTTCACGATGGGGTGTTAAGGCCATTGCAGATAGAAAAAGAATACATTTCTGCCCATGAACTCCAAAAATATGAGATTCTCAGAAATTTCTTTGAAAAATAAGGATATTTCTGAGCTTCAAACGTTAAACGTGTGAGAAAAACTCTCAGAAATGTTGAGACGTTTAAAATATTATGAGATTAACATCAAAATTTCAGATTTTTATTGATTTGATTTTTTACATTTAGGACTCATAGATTTTATTGTTTCCTTTCTTTTCTTTTCTTTTTTCTCTCTAGACAATTTCGGAGATTTTCGGCATCTCCATGGCCCCTCTTCCAACATGGCGCCTCTATGCGTCGCCTAACATGCATACACACTGGTTAACTGTAAGATGGCGGATTAGGGCCAAACAACAAAAATGAGTAAATATCTGCCAAAACAAAGCTCCAAAATTTTGAAATTAAGCTAGATAAAACTAGGAAATTTACAAGTTTAATGAATGTAAAAAAAAAAAAAAAAAAAAAAAAAAAACTTTCGAAACTCGTAGAATTTTCAAAAGTCGCAAATTTTCGACTCGATTCTGAGTTGCCATGGCGACGCGATAACAAACAGCAATTTATCGTCCGAAACCGAGTGAAGCGGAGGATTGAAAAGCAGGAGAAAATGACGGAGGAGAGGTGAAAGGGCGGCACCAGGGGGAGACGACAAAGAAGGGAAGCAGAGAAACCAGCTAATGAGCGATGACAGGAGGAGGGGAAAGGAGGAGGAGAGAGCCGAGAATAAGGGGTGAGTACGAACCAGAACCCACCGTCTGGACCAGTCCTGTCTCGACCCTGAACGGGTCGCTGCTCTGTCCCGCAACCTTCCATGGAATATATTTGGAAAAAAATAAAAAAAATAAAAAGAGCAGACAAATAGAAACAGGTGAGATTTAAGTTTTCTTCAATAACTTTCTTTCTGATCATTCAGAAAAAACATTTAGAGAAAAGTTTGTTTTTTTAGCTAAGAAATGTGTTTTATTATAGAAATAAACTCTTTACAGCAGCGTAATCTAAGATTGTTTAGTGTTAAATCCAGATTATTTTGTCATGTTAGTCAATTATTTGTACACTCAGACCAAATGTTACAGTTTTTCAGCCTATTGTGGTTTTGAAAGATTATAAATCTGACTAAAACTTTTAGCTAGCGGTTTGCTGTGGTCAGATTTAAACATTAGGAAATAAGGACAATAAATGTACATTTCAATTAAACTTAAAAAACTAGAACAATTTTCAAGTAAATGATTATTGTAGCATCTTTTGTCTTCCTTTTATTTTGAAGCCAGGACGTTTTTCTTGTCTTGTGTTGAATTAAAAAAAAAAGTAGCACATGTGAAATTCATGTTCAAAAATGTTGTATTGGTACCAAAGGGAAATTAAATGTTGTAACCCATGTCATCTTAATTTAAATTCTTCAGGGTTATTCATTTATCTCTCTCTCTCTCTACATATATATACATAATTAATTTTTATTTCTTTTTTCTCTCTTTAGTGAGGATGAGTTACCATAGCAAAAGATGGTTTACAACAATGAGTAGCTGCTTAATCTGTTTTAGGTTCCCAGTAGGAACCATAAAGGACAACAGAATGGTGTTTGGTGGTGTATTTATAGGCTTTTTAGTTCATAACTTTTTTCCCACTGATTGTTTTTTACCTTTAGACATTAAAAATCCATAAAAATGTGCTTCCGCCACTGATTTTTACACAGGTTAGCCTGAGCTTTGAAGTTTGCAATGCTTCAGATTTAAAGTTTTATTATACATCTGGAAGGTATTCCTGTTACTATTCTGTCATAAAAAAGAAGCAAGGTCTTGATGTTGTGTTTAATAGTGTCTGTAAAACTAACACAGATTTGTTTTTCTCTTTTTTTCCCAGATTGTCTCCAAACAAGTCAATCTGACAGCTCCTAGTTGATGCTGAATCAGTTAGAGACATTTCTGCTTTCATTAAAAGGTTCTGCTACCAACAGATCCTAGTTTGGTTTTGAGGAAACCAAGTACTTTCTCCAGTCAGTTCAAGGATTTCACAGCAGAGTGCAGGATGGTTCCTGGAGTTCAGGATGTTGACTCAGCAAAGGGTGTCACAGTGAAACCAGGGACGTCCATGTTCCTCTCGCTGCTGCTTGTCTGGTGTTTCCTGTTTGTCTCCCATGTTGGTGGCCTACGCAGCTTCACGCCTCAGCCTCTCCAGTCAGAGGTGACGTTGTCTGAACTCCCCAGTACCAATCGTCCTACAAATGCAGAGACGCACATGTCGCAAGAGACCGCCAATAAACCGTCCGTCTTGTTGGACTCCGAAGCAGAAAACCTGAAGGCTGAGAACAGCCTGAGGGCTAAACATGATAGAAAACTTGCAAGTTCCAACTCGTCTCAAAACCCTAAAACTAAGCCGCCAGGCCGCCCTAAGTGCACCCACGAAATGTCGATAAGAGCCATCTTCAAGTACATCAACACGGCATTCTCCTTCCTGATCTTTGCTGTGGGGATCATCGGCAACGTCACCCTGTTGAGGATTATCTGCCAACATAAAAACATGAGGAACAGACCCAACGCCCTGATAGCCAGCCTCGCCATGGGAGACATACTGTACATCGTCATAGACGGCCCAATCAATGTCTACAAGGTACAGCTCCTCATGTGTTTTCACCTGCAGCTTAATTCAGGGGTGCCAAATCCATCTTCATTTTGGGCCTTGTAGGGTTGCCAGATCTGAAGATGCATCACACCAGGCCTGTTTAGTCCGCTTTAATCGAACTCGAGTTTGTTTACCTTGAAAGTCTGGTTTGTCTGGGGAGGTGGCCAAAAAAGCAAACTCTGGTGTGTCAAAAAACCTCGGTCTTGGTTTGGTTGAAGTGAACTCTGGTGCGGTTTGAATGCAAATGTGAACGCCAAGCGAACCGCAGACTGCTCCAAAAGCAGGAAGTGGATAACAGCTCAGCACTTTGTATTGCCTTGTTGCTGAAAATGTGCTATATAAATAAAATTACCTTTACCTTTAGCGTTAGTGGGAGAAATTGCCTGTGGTCATTTACCAAAGACAAAAGAGAAATCCTACAACCTTCTAAAATCTAACCCTACTCCATTTTTATTTGCATTTTGTGAAAAAGAAAGTTGCGCTCACTCTCTTCTTCTGGAGTTTTTGAGTCGTTTCCTTCAGTAGTTGTTGGTGCAGCGCCCCCACAGGTGAGGAGAGGAACAGGGTTTCAGTTAGTTTGGATCGTTTGACAGTACAGTGTGAAAGCGAACTGCAGCAGCTGAAAATTTAGCAAATGTTACAACTTTGGTTTGCAAACAAACCGAGTCTGCTAGACTATCAGGTATAAAAACAACTCATCTCAACCTCCAATGAAACTCATGTTAATAGCACCAGATTTACAATGTGATTATTCGCAACATTTGTGGTCGTCCTTCATTATGTCCTATTATTCTGACCAGAACCAGATTGTGTGACACCTTATGATTTTACACAGGGATTTATGTTTAGAAATACTGCTTACATAGTGAACCTTGACTGAGCAATGAGTAATCATTGATGATTCTAGACATTTTAAAATAAATTAATAAATGCAATAACACAGCATTTTATTAAAACCTTGTGCCTTTCAGCCACACACAATTATTTCAAAACAATTTTTCTATGAACCCTAAAAACTCACTAAATGTAGTGAAAAGCTATCCAAACTTTAACAACCCATCCAAAGGTGCTTTTTTTTCCCTAACACTCCTCACACACACAAATCACAAAGACTTTGTGGCATTTTGTCAGTCTGCTGAAGCTTTGTTGGTGTTTTCTTGTGTGCAGCTCCTGGCAATGGAGTTCCCATTCGCCGACCAACCGTTCGGTCAGTTCCTCTGTAAGTTGTTGCCCTTCATTCAGAAGACTTCGGTCGGCATCACCGTCCTCAACCTGATTGCTCTCAGTGTGGACAGGTAACGCACAAACGGACAATGTCCACGCCAACTTATACGGCCGAGTGTTAGTGCCAAGAAAATTAAAAATAAGTAGGAAAATAAAGGCATGGTATTACAAGAATAAAGTCATAATGTTACGAAAATAAAGTTGTAATATTCTTAGTTGTTTTGAAGAAATCATAAGATAAATGCATTATAAACATATTTGGAAAGATGTGATGTTTTTGCATAAAAGTCCAAATAAAGCTTGTGGTCATAATTTGACAAGATGTGAAAGATTTAATTAGGTTCTGTGTTTGTAGCACTAAAACAACCGAAACATACAACATTGTTTCCGTTAATAAACGCGGTCTGAGTGCTGTTGGTGAACCTAAAACTGGTCTCATTTTGTGTGCAGGTACCGTGCGGTGGTGTCCTGGTCTCGGATTCAGAGCAACGGCATTCCCATGGAAACGGTGGTGCAGATTGTCATGATCTGGATGCTGTCTGCCTTACTGGCCGTGCCGGAGGCCATCGGCTTCAACCTGCACCGCTTCAACATCGCCAGCAACGTTACCATTAGTACCTGCCTAGTGAGACCCGAGACCTCCTTCTTGAAAGTGAGTCCTACTTTTACCACCACTGCTGTCCAACTGCACAGCACGATGATCGGCCTCCAGCCGTCTGCTCCTCTTTGTTGTTCTAGGCGAGGCCTCTTCGACTCGGATAGGTTAGCTGCATTTCCTGTTTACAAACCTGCTGCAGGAAGCCACTTAAATCTGAACCCAGGTCATGTGATTTACGGTCAACCATTAGGCAGACCACTTTTCACACTGCTACTAAAACCAAAACTGAAGCAACAGTTAAAATAACCTTTTAATCAGTGAAATTAACCTTCCAGTTAAATATCAGGATAAAAGGGTTAGGTACATCAGTCTGAGGTCACCGCAGAATATCATGTTTATTCGCATTAAGAGTTATTAAATGCTCAGTCGCTGCTCTCGTTTAACCCAGTGAGCTCCAGTTTTCAGCTCAAAGTGAGATTTATATTCCTGCTCTAGATTCATTTATCCAACTGTCGTAACAATGCAACTGTTTTCTAGCAAACAGTAGCTCACAACAAACTGTAAAAACTGAAAATCACATCTAATATTGAATTATTCATTTGTTAATGTATTTTCCTATAACTATGACTATTATATAACTATAATAGAGCTGCAACTAAAAATTAGCACATTCTACAAACTTTTCATTTAACCACTTAGACATTTTTCTGCTCTCGTTATCCAATCAGTTTTAGTTTTTCTCTCTTCCGGTTTGGTCTTGTTGCTCCTTCAGTAAACCTTTTAATGTCACTTTTACTCTGCAGCATGTTTCGTCTCAAATGTTTGTTTTGTTGCCTGAGTGAAATCCATGCAGTCGTTCATTTATTTCTACACCAAAGAAGACAAAAGGAAGAGAGGGGAATGACTGGTGCTTATCTCCAGCGGTTCTGAGTGAAATCTAATTAGAGAAATTAGGCAGGAAAACAGTCATTGTGGGAAGCCGGCAAACATCCGGCAGGATCAGGGAATCAGCATGAATGGATAATGCAGTTAGCAAAGTGACAAGTTATCAATGAGACTTAGAAGAAGACAGAGTAATTCAGGTAAATTGCAGGTTTACAACATACGCTTATGTCAGAAATAGAGTTTCTGCACACATAGGACCATCATGCAAACTTCACATTTTCCATGTTTTTCCTGCTTCCGTTTGGGTTCCAACTGCTTCCAAAAACAGCTTCAAAAAGACACCCAGTCGTTTTGTTGGCAATACGTTAATGTTTTTTAGTGTCTGGAAAGTGAACAATTTTCAAAAACGTCTTGATTAAGAAATCACATTGCACCTGTTGCCTAGCAACCCAAGCAGAACTCTGCCCCGTTGCCTAGCAACCCAAGCAGAACTCTGCCCCGTTGCCTAGCAACCCAATCAGAGCTCCAGCACATTCTAAAACTCAGGATTGTTGTTTTAGGAGCCAGAGTTTAGGAATGAGATCCAAACTTTCAATTTCATGTATATGTAACATCCATTCTTTGGGGCCTTGCTAGTAAAACACAACCAGTCTGATGCTGAGGGTTCTCCATCTTCTCTTTCACCTGCTGCACAGATTAGGCGACTCAGCATTATGCAAAATTCACCATTTATACTTACATTTGGGTCTCAACTGCTTCTAAAAACAGACCAAGAGCTTAAAATAAACACCAAACCGGTTTTTGGCAACAAGTTAATGTTATTTGATGTCTGGAAAATGAGCCGTTTCAAAAACATCAAGACTCTTAAATCACATTCCACAGCCACTGGGCCGTTACCTAGCAACCTCAACCAACCCCAGCCCCGTTACCGAGCAACCAGAACATTTGGCCAACTAGTTACTGACCCTTTGCAACTAGGTCACTTAATCATTCGAGGCACCATGATGGACATCGGAAGTGAGGGACGGGAATATTGAACTGAGCGACTGAAGTTGTTTTCCCAAGTTGTTTCTGTCAGTTTATTCATGGCTTCTACTTTTTGAGTCGAGCTAATTCGTCTCTGAACAACGAAGGAGTAGGCCAGCAGCAGATTATTTGGATTTAAAGTGACAGAGGCCCTAAAACAGCTCATTCTCAAAGAAACTACAAAACAGGCCTAACTGAGCAGAATAAAATCCCATCATCTGTGCAAAATAATGTGATGAACATCCTGACCTGTTCAAGGAAGCATAATGTCCCCTTTAACTCGTCTGTTTTCAGTTCTACATCAAGTTCAAGGATTGGTGGATATTTGGCTTCTACTTCTGCATCCCTCTGACCTGCTCGGCGATTTTCTACGGCCTCATGACTCACGAGTTGCTCCGGCACGAGAAGGGAGATCTAAAGCGCTCACTGGGTGAACAACTGAAACAGGTACGCAGAATACGTTTAAAGCAGGGGTGTCCAAGGCACGGCCCGGAGCCCGTTTGTGACCCTGGAAATGGTTTTCTTTGGCCCCAGACCTCAAGTCAAGAATGATGAAAAAATAAATAAATTTAAAAAAAAAAAAAAAAACGGCCTTCAAAATATAAAACAATTTGTGATCAAAAGAATTTGGAAATTCCTTTTCTTTTCTTTTTTTTTTAATGAGGCAACAGTCCTAAGCCTTTTTTATGTTTTGGATCTTGAATGTCACACACATTTCATAAAAACTATTAATGTTGAGCAGGCTTGATCGTGACAGGCCCATGTAGAACACGTCTCCTTTCTGGGCGGGTTGATGCTTGAGCATTCATCTTGTCTATATTTAATATAATTCTTTGAACAGCTGAACGCGGCTTCTTCAAGAATCGGTAAATTGTTTCTTAGGATGAACTGAGACTCCATGATTGTAGAAAGTTCTGATGACTCCTGTTGTACATGCAGAAATTAATAATCTGAACTCAAGTAAATAACCTCTTCAGACACACTAAGGTTTGAATAAATGTCCTCTCTGCAGCGCCGCGAAGTGGCCAAGTCTGTGTTCTGCCTGGTGGTGATCTTTGCCCTCTGCTGGCTTCCTCTTCACTTCAGTCGGCTGCTGAAGTTGATGGTCTACGATCCAAACGACCCTGGCCGCTGTGAATTACTGAAGTGAGTGCCAAAACTTAAACCGAAGGCTGAGTCATTTTTAAATTTGTGGTTTTGTTCTGAAAGCCTCGCCTCCTGTCGGTTGCAGCATACTGCTGGTGCTCGACTACTTCAGCATCAACTTGGCGACCATCAACTCCTGCATCAACCCCATCATCCTCTTCTTCGTCTCCAGGAAGTACAGGCACTACTTCATGGTAAGGATGTCTTGTTCTTTGGCTTCCTGGTTTGTTGTTACGTAGCAAGAGACTCTGTGCTTCGTCCTGGGCCAGTGCGACGTCACAGTGAGGTCACGGGGTCATGAGAGACAGATCTAAAACTGGGGGTTGGGAGTTGATTAAACACAGAAGGGTCGCGACCTCTGATAAAGTGTTTGTGGGAAGTCAGTAGAAGCTTTCTGGTTAAGAGGAGTGCTCCACTCAGGAGTGACATATTTACTGCCCTGTTCTTTTTATATGCTGGGAATTTTGGGACAAATTTTCCCCTTTATCTCCATGTTATGTTGCTTCATAAGTGTGCTGCACCAAGAGCAAAATTTGAATGCAAAAGATTCAGCAGGCAGTTTTTTGATATTTAGCTAACTTTTCTCACATCTAACACACTTTCATCTAAGTAACTGTCATATCTTCACCCGCCTTGCCTGCTGGTGGTGGTCAGAGGACCAGGTGGTGCTCGTGCATGGCAGCCTTGCTTCAGTCAGTGGCCTGCCACCATCAGCATGTGAATGTCTGCGTGAATGGGTGAATGACCGAATGCAGAGTGAAGCACTTTGGGGTTCTCTGGACTTGATAAAGCGCTATAAAATTATAGGATATAAACCACTTGAGAAATTCTTCCACACATCCTTGGCCACAGAGCCCACCAGGTCATTGGTGGGGTCGGCTTGAGCACAATGAGAAAATGATCAGGAACAACAAGTATATTTCCAATGCCCTCCTTCGACTTCTCTAGGCAGAGAAAGTCTGTAGATACAAGTTCATAGGGGTACTGCTGTGGATGCTGACAAGAGGAGCGCCGACACTTCTTGTGGGAGTCGTCCTTCGTCTTCACACAGCTCACACCAAGATTTGATGTCCTGGAACATATTTGGCCAGTAGAATCTCTCAGTTATCAACTGAAGAGTTCTCTAAAAGCCTAAAGGCCTCAGCGTTGGCATACTCCACTGGGCGGAGGTGCACTCAAGATGGACTTGACGCAGACATCCGCACAAGGATACATTTTATGACCGTGTTAGTGTCGGCATGAGCAAAGCAGCTGCTCTGGATCTAATGTAATGTAAATATAGTTGTTTATGACAGCCAATGTTTTCTTTGTGTGTTGTTTCGCCAAAACTGCTAAATTGCCCCCAAAAACCTGCATTTGATTTACACAGCCTCAGTGTTCTGTTAAATGATGAAGGTGGATAAAATAAAAAATAAGGGACATCTTGGATCTGTTTCTTGATTCCCTCTGCAGACACCATGTGGTCCAGATACTGCACCTCCTTCTTCATCAACTGGCACATCAAAGACCAGCTGGATGTGTTCCAGATTCTCCTCAAATGTTTTAGAAAATATTATGAGGTCATCAAGGTAACCGAGCAGGTGAGTGAAATTCAGATCTGCGAGGAATGGATGGGGTACTCTGAAGCCCGAATAGCATTCTGTTGGCCTCAAATAGCCCGATGGGCGCTCTGAATGGAGTTTTGTGTTTATCATGCGCTGCCACTTCCACTTGCCAGTAACCTGACGCTGGATCCAGCCTGGAGAAGTATTTAGCTTGCCCCAAAGCCTCTAATACTTCCTGTATTTGATGTATTCGTGGCAGAGAGAATATGTCACGTGTGGTGCAGGAGTTGAGTTTTCTGTAGTCAATACAGAACCTTAATGAATCATCTTTCTTGTTGGCCTAGAAAGTCTGGTTCCTTTGAGGAGGTGTGAATGCACAGTCGAAATCTGATGTGGACCAAAAATGTGAACTCTGGTCTGCCTAAAAGCCTAGATCTCAGTTCGGTTGAAGTGAACTCTGGTGCGGTTTGAATGCATATGTGAATGCCAAGCACACTGGAGGCAGCTCCAAAAGCAGGAAGTGGACTACAGAGCAGGGCATTCTGGGTAAATACAACCAAAATAAACATGAGAGTTTGGTGTTAGTGGGAGAAATTGCATGTAGTTATTTACCAAAGAGAAAAGAAAAATCCAACAACCGCTAAAACCTCATCACTCCATTTTTGCTTACATTTTATGAAATGGAGTTGCGCTCAGTTTCTTCTTCAGAGGTTTTCTGTAGTTTCCTTCAGAGGCTCCCGGTGCAGCACCACCACAGTTGAGGAGGGTGACTAGGTTTGTCAAAGGGTTTGGTTTGATCGATACAGTGCAGTGTGAAAGCAAACCACAAACTGAAAATGTAACAAATGTTGCAATTTTTCAAAAGTTATATTGCTATGTTTCACAGCTGAAGAGCTTCTGTGCAATTAGTATTACTAACATAACTGATTAGCTTTACGGTTGTAAACATGGTAATGAGAGTCTTTTTTAGACATTTCCATTTTAAATGTGGTGAAAGTGTGCAAAATGTGAGAAAAGTAAGCTAAATATCAAAAAACTGTGCTAAATCTTTTGCGTTCATATTTTACACTTTGCAGCCCTTAGTTAAGGAAACAAAGACAATCCGATCGGCTCTGTAGCTATCGCTAACGAGGATCGTTGCAGACCCAAACCCAAATCAGCTGGAATATTCAAAATCTGCCGTTGAAGACTTCAGATTGAGAAGGAAGCAACACCAGGAAAAAATAAAAATGATCAGATTAAAAAACTCATAGAATTAGGAAAAAGTGAAACAAGGATTTTTAAATAATTATTTTGTATTTTGTTGAACTATTCAGAAAAGGAACTTTTCAAAAAAGGAAAACAGGAAGTTCAAATGTTTTGCCTTTTTTTCTCCGATTTCAGCAGCTACAACCATGTGTTGTTGTATTTTCTATTTCACATTGTCCCAAATGTTTTCAGAATTACAGTGATGCTGCTGAAACACACTCAGAAAGTAATTTTACCTGAGTGATTTTACGAAATATATCTGGATAAGTTTTTCTCCATCATCATAAATGAGGTTAAATAAAAAAATAATAATTTTAGACTTTTAATCCTTCTGTTAGGCTTCTCTCTGTCTCTTAAGTAATTTTTTAAATTGTATGTAAGATGATAATTTTCAAAGGTTCTAAATTAGCATAAAATACTAATTTAGTCTTTTCTGTGTCCCTATTGACTAAATAAACTATGCTAGTAGTGTAAAGTGAATGTTATGTTGAATCTAAGTCCCATAAACTACAGATTAAGTGGAGTTGTAGTTTTATTCTGGCAACAGGATTGGATTTAAATGTACTTTTTGGTGTCACAGTGACCGCCGGCAGCTTTATCTTCATTCTGATGGAAACCATTTCCAGCTGGGACATTCTCTTCCTGTCTGCGAAAGCAACTGACTCGGTTGAATTTGCCTTTTGTGGCTCTAGTCCAGGACTAAAATGCTTAAAGTTTCAGCCATGTCATCCAGGTTATCTTGGCTCGGCCTTGGAGAAAAGAAATCCATCAGGTCAAGAAAGGTCAAGCCTGTTTACTGGGAATTAAGTTGTCACAAAATAGCTGGTGTCACAAATACTGAAATAAAGATTGTTACGACGGCGGAGTTTAAAAACGGAGGTCTACAGAGAGTTCAGACATTAATATGAAAGAGACCAGAACCTGGTTGTAAATCTGCTGTCCGTCTCCATCAGAAACATAATTTTAAAGACACAGAACAGATTTAAACACCAGCGACAGTCACTGGTGTTTAATAATGAGAAAAAGTTAATAGTCTTGGTTACATCCTTCACTGTTGCTTCTTTCTACCTGATTTTCTTCTTTGTTAATTGGCCAAAAAGAAAAATCAGAAAGAGGAGGGAAGATGGGATATACTGAGTTGGATTGTAGCAGATCAATATAAACAGTATTGATCCATGTACTTCAATTATTTAATGTTCCTGATGCCAGATTGTGTGTTTAGACTGACTGAATTAAATGGTGCGAAACAGATTCAGGAACAGCTTCCCAGTGGCCGAGTGAAGGACAGAAAACAGACAAACTGACAGAAACCAAGTCTGTTTAATAAAATCAATCACATTTTACTCTAATTATGTTTCCAGTAACTTTTATCAAGTTATATGCAGATGATATTGTCACTTATATTTCAGAAACATTTGATTCAACCTCATATTTGAATGTTTTAATGGAAAGAAAAACTAAATTTTGACTTGTTAAGCACTTGACATGAGCTCAGATGTGTCTTCTATTGCTATCTGCAAAAGTCTTGAGTCATCCCTTATTTCTCTATTATTTTGCTTACAATCAGAATCTCTTGTAGTGTGAATGTCTGCCAAAGAGTTTATTTGGACTTTGTTCCAGGAAATGTTCAGCTGAATGTTTATTCCTTTGTTCAGCCTGTTCAGGCGCTGCCAATTTGTTTAAAAAGTCCAAAATACTTCACAGTTTTTCAAGTTAAACACTAATTTTAAAAAAGCTATTTGGAGGCTATGAGGAAATGTTGTTTGACTCAAAGACTTCCCCCCCAGCTGATACTGAACATTTTGAACAGAGTAAAAGAGAAAAAACATCATTTTGACTTGCTAAGCACTTGGCATGACCCCAGATGTCTCTTCTATTTGCTACAGTGTTGTGCAAAAGTCTTGAGTCATCCCTTATTTCTCTATTATTTTGCTTACAATCAGAAAAGCTATCTGAAGGCTGAGGAAATTGTGTACGACTCAAAGACCTTTTCCTCCGGCTGAGACTAAACATTTTGAACAGAGTAAAAGGGATGACCCTGCCTGTCTCTGTGTTTCTCCGTCTCCCTGTAGAAGATGCTGTTTTGCTGCTGTTACTCTCGGCCTTTCTCCAGCAACCTGCAGACTCCAACGTGGGACCAGTCAGCGGTTAAAAAACTCCGACCACTGAGGGACTCACCTCCACAGAATGTTTTCACATATGACCCATAAAGTTATGATGGATCTTATATGAGCTCTTCCAGTTTTGAGAAAACAGTTAAGATGTCAGGAAAAGTAGATATTTTA